CACCATCACTGGACGTCTCCCAGGGAAAGGTGTCAGCTCTGCATGTGCTGGGCTCTGTCCTTCCCCCAAAAGAAACACTCCCACCCAGGAATCACCCCATCGCTCCTGACTCACAGTCTCTGCAGCCGAAATTCAACTTCTAGCCGCTCCTCACCCTGGAGAAATAAAGGGGCAAGTCAGAAAGGGAGAGGAGTGTGTGTATAGATTTTAATGCAGATGCCAGCTGGGGCTCCTCGGGCCCCAAAGGTGGGGAGAACCAATGTCCATCTCCAAGTTGCTCTGTCCACCTTCTCTGGGGGGCTCCTAGAAAGCTGTTCTTGGCTTAAGGGCCAAGAAAGAGGGCCGGAGATGGAACTGTTCCTCAGTGACAGCAGGTCCTGGCTGACTATGGCCTTTGAAATGCCAGGGAGCCTAGACCACTCACTGGAGAAGAGAGCCATGTGCCCAGCTCTCCTCCAAATCAGCTCTCCTCCCTGGGCGGAACCCCACCGCTACCCTGTGCACAGCCTTGCCTGAGGGTTCAGTGAGAAGCTCTCTCGGCGAAAGTCCCCAGCCTGCAAAGTCCCCAAGTCAAACAGCACTGACAACATGGGGTCATCACTGGTCAGAAGGTCCTGGTCAAAGACTTGCAGCTGCAAGACATTCTGGAAAGGAAGAGAGTGAGCAGCTGCAGGAAGGAGGAGTGGAGTAGGAAGGTGAGCGGGTCAGAGCGTGGAACGAGGGCTGGCAGGGACAGTGGGCCCACCTTGAGCTGGCTGTGGATTCGAAAGCGAAAGCTCTGATTCCAGATGGGGTTTCTGCTGTTCTTGACCGTGCGTGTCTGGAGCCTGTGGCTAGAGGCTGTGGGCAGCCACAGACTCACATAGCAGTCAGAGGGGGTCACTGTGGGAAGGGGGAACAAGTGCCTGCTAATGGCCAAGAGTCCAACCCAGCCCAGCTGCCCAGAGTCCATGACCTTCCATCACAAGCAGCCCCCGGAGGCCAAGACCCATGGAATGGGGCTGGGTCAGGAGGCAGGAGGAGAGGCTGAGGGCCTACCTGACATTCGACCTAGTACCTCCTCTTGGCACCCTCTTGGACTTCCTGCACCCCCAGCCCTGGAGTCTTCCCACTGGCCCTGTCCCACTGTGAACCCAGCTACAATGCCACTGTCCTCCCTGGGCCCAACACTCACCTAGATCCTTCGAGGGCAGGTCACGGGCCTGCAGGACACGAACGGTGAGCAAGCAGGTCCCAGGAATCTTTGCCTGCAGAGTGGGGAGAGGACAGGCTTGCTGCAGGCTGCTGTGCCCAAAGGAGACGAGGGTCAAAGAAGAGGCCAGGGTGACCCCTCCAAGACTAATCATGACCCAAAGGGACTGGCCCTGCCCAGCCACACGGCTGCTCTGCACCCCATCAGAGCCCTGAAAGGGAAGGCGGCTATGGTAGCAGCTACCTACCAACACTTACACAACACTTGGGGCCGGTGCTGGTCCAAGGGCTTTATGTATATTCATTTGTTTAATCACACAACCGCCCTACGTGTAGGGACTACTTATTATAACCAGTCCCACAAGGAAACAGAAGCACAGAAAGGCTAGTCACTTGCGTGAGGTCCAGGGCCAGGATAGACCAGGGTGGCTCAACTCAAGCTCTCTATCCCACACTCACCTGCTTCCAGTTCCTGCTATAGTGTCTTCCAGTCTCTTGACCCCACAGCTAACACATCCCAGCTAACCCCTACTAAGTGGCCTGGAGGCTGGCCTTGGGTAGCAGGAGGCCTGGGGGAATAGGAGGCTCCAGAGAGAGGGGAAGAAGCATGTTAAGACCCAGCCTGGCCTTGGGCCCCCTGGTGGGGCCACTCCCCTAGTTAAGCAGCTAAATGGAGGCATGCTCCAGGTAAGCAAACCCTCTATTTGGAGAAACAGAAATGAAGAACACAGACTTGGTTTTCAGACAGCCTCTCCACCCCTGGCCAGGAATCATTTCTGGAAATGGACCCTCTGCTTGAGTAGGAACAGCAGTTAGCAGCTCCCACGTCCCACAGGTTTTCAAGTCCTCCAGAGGCTACGGGGCTGGGCGAAAGAGGGTCCCCAGGTGGGTCCATCCAAACCCATGAACGTGGACCTGGGGATATAAACCACGGCAAGTGTGCCAGGGAAGCCTGTACCGGCTATTCCTTTTGGCCTCAGAAGGGTCCTGAAGGATGCAGTCCAGGAGCAGAGCTGGGGAAACACATCTGTCAGTGTCCACCCTGGAGCCCCCACGGTCCAAGCCTGGGAGAACCCACTTCCTGGGAGCCTGGGTTCTCAGGGCCCAAACCCACAGGGCCAGGGAACTCTGCCTGGAGCCCATCGCTAGGGCAGAACACCTTCATCCGACACTGGCATCCCCCACCGACTCCCTTCTCCACACCTGGAGACACCCACAGCTCCCAGTAAGAAATAGCATTAAGGCTGGAGGCACCTGGGTGACTCAGTTAAGCATCCAACTCTTTCTTTCAGCTCAGGTGAGGACCAGCCACGGGCCCCCACAAGTCGGGCCCCACGCATCAGGCTCCGAGCTCAGCGGGGAGTCAGCTGGAGATTCTCTCCTTCTGCACCCTCTCCAGCCCCGGCTCCACATGCTACTCTCTCTCACATCAACAAATCTTTAAAAATTATAAATAAATAAATAAATAAATAAAAATTAAAGAAGAAATAGTATTAACCAGGCCCCAGGAGGACCAAGGGTCAGAGTAAGGGCCTAGCGCCCTAACAGGTCTTACCAGAGCCATGAGGCTGGCTGTTCTCAAGGGCCACAAATGGCAGGCAGTGGATGCAGGACCGAGGACTGCTGGCTTTTTAACCCAGAGCCAGTGATGTACCAGCTGGCCCCAAGCTCCTCCCTGATCCCTCCCAACTGCTTCCACTCCACCCAAGCCTCACACCCACTCCAGGACAAGCCACCCGCCAAGGAAACGAGGGACCTTAAACCTATGCGGACTCAGACCCCCCCGTGATGGGGGCCTACCACCCATGAAGACCCGTTCCCTCCAGCCATCGCAATCAGCGCCAACCCCACCCACCCCTGCTCTCGTGCCCGCACCTAGAAGGGCCACTGATGTCTAGAGAGCAGGGAGCGGGCCCGGGGCAGCAGCGAGTGGAAGAGCCTCGTCCCCTGTCACAGGGTCTTTCACAACCTTCAGTGCCAGTAGGACAGGAATGCCCGGTCCTGACTGAAGCACTTGGCCAACCTCAGTGCCTCAGGCCCGTCACAACCCAGCAGGGGTGTGGTTTACTCCATGCAGCCTTCCCAAGCCTCGAATGGCTGCCTCCGCCCTTGGAGCCGGGTGGCCAGGATGATGAGGCCTCCGGGTGGCATTCAGGGATGGGGGCTCTTCCAGGTCTGGGTGGCTGCAGGGAGGGAGGGGGTCTGAGTGCAGGGACCCCTGCGGAGGTGGGGGGCAGGGGTTTCTGTCCCCTACCTGTCCTTGTTGTGGGAGAAGCAGGAGTGTCCCTGGGGGCTCCAAACCCCACCAGCTGCCCTGGAGCCGAAGGACAGCCAACAAGGCAGAGTAAAGCTCAGCGCGGCTTCACGGGCCAAGTCAGTGAGGTGCGCTCGCCCTGAGAGTGGCTGTGATGGCTATCACAGAGAGAGGGGTCTTGGGAGCTGAGAGCCCCTCAGGCTCAGGTCTGAAACCGGCCTTCAGCCGCCATCTGAGTAACCCTGAAATGTTTACTTGAACCTTCCAGCCCTCACCAGACCATAGAAGGCACCTTCAAGAGGGAGTCTCAGCACATGTAAATCAGTCATCTTTTATTGCGCGTTTCCCTCCATGCCAGCCCTTATGGTCCCTAAGGCGCTCTCTCTGAGCCTCCCAACACCCTGTGGGGAAGGAAGCAACCTTCTGTCTTACAGACAGGACACCAGTGCTCTGAGGCGATCAGCTGCCCAAGGCCACGGGGCCAGCGAGAGGTGGCACCACACCTGAAGCCCCACGCCTCCCCCCGGGACAAGCTGCTGCCTCACCTGTGTGGCAACTTCCTGGGAGCCCACACCCAGACCTGTCTGGCACCTCCTGGACCTCCAGGTCACTTCCCCAAGTCCTCCATCACTGATCCCAAGCTGAGCTAGGCCAGCAGCCAGCACACTGACTCTGGGTTGCCTCTGGAAGTGACCTGGCCAGGGAGGGACATGACCTTTTCCCCCAGTTGGCAATGTAGGCAGTGTTCAGCAGGGCTCCATCAGTCGAGGCCCGAGGCCTTAGTAAGGGAGTCAAGCAGCTGGAAGTAACTGTACTTAAGGTCATACTCCATGTCATACCAGTAGTTCACTGTGGACAAAATGGAGACCCTTGCACAAAGGTCCCCCTCTGAACTACCTGCCACCCTGACCCACCGCCCAGCTGCCCTGCTGGGCCAGCTCCTCACCCGCAATGCAGCCGTGGGACTGCTGCACATGGTGGAACCACAGGGCCGGCAGGTAGAGCATCTCACCGGCCTGCACTGTGCAGCAAAGGGCCCGGGCCTGACTGTAACTGGGGTACCGGGCCAGATCCGGAGCCAGCGGGTCCAGTGGGATCCAGGGTACCTGGGGACACAACGGATGCCGGGGAGCAGGTCCAAAGACCCCAGGCCCTGCAGCTCTGTCCCGTCCAAAGGTAAAGCCCACGAGCCCGGCCCTGTTCAGCACTGGGAGGGCCCCGACTTAGGGATCTTTCAGAGTCAGATGCCATCTCCCCAGCTCCATTGTGCCTGCTCCTCAGAGACCAGTCTCTGGCCCTTCCCTCTCCCCAGGGCCCAGGAACAAGGCAGACACCTTCTCCATGGCTTCTTCATCCACTATCTCAAAGGAGTCCTCTTCAGTTAGCTGGTAGGTCGCCGGTGTGTACAGCTCTGAAACCAGAGAAAGGTGTGGGGACACTCGAATGGCTGCGGCTTCTCAGTTCCTCCCACTTGCTCCCTGAGTACAACTGAAACACGGCATCCACACCTCAGGCCTGGTGCACCAGCCCGCCCAGGGCCCTCACTGGCCTCCCTCTACCTTGGCCCCCCGCTCTCCAGCCCCTGCAGGTGGAGTCCCATACCATAGGGGATGAAGGGCCGGTCGCTGGGTGGGTGTAGCAGGAATCGTTTCTCCCCTGAGACCACACAGTAGAGGTTCTCGTAGTGGTCCTTATGTACTGCCAATGCAAAGAAGGCCCAGTGGGCAAGGTTATGAGGGTCAGGGCACAGGAGGAGCCAAATAACATTCAGGGCCCTGCCCCCAAGACAGATGTGACAGATGGTCTAAAAGAAGAGCACAAGGGAGGCTCAAGGGGATGGTGAGGATCTGGGCAAGCATTCGGGTTTCCGATCTCGGCCCACCAGGGACCTGATGCTCACCGGGGCTCATCTCTACCAAGAGGGGAATTCAAGCAAACAGGGCTCTTCTGAGTTCACCCCTGACCTATCTGGCCTTTGGTGGGCTTTCTAGAGACCTAGAAGAAACCATGCCCTCTGCTGCCAGTGCCATGGGACCTTCCCCGGCCTGAGCTATCGGGAGGCCCTCTGTCATGTCGAAACCCCAGAATCCGGGTAGAAATCCTGGAGAGAATAGTCAGTCTAACTTCCATCCAGACCCAACCTTCCACTCTTGGTCTCCTCTTCCCTCCTCCCCCACCTCTGTATCCCTTTGACACCTACAAGACGTCACTGCAGCCGCCTCCCCCAGCCAGAAGTTCACAGCATCAGGCATCTTTCCTGCAGGTTGGAGGTAAGAGAGCGAGTTAGGAGGGGCTGTCCTCCAAGGCCAGGCTGGGAATAACCACCATATGGTGATACTGGCCCAGAGCCTGGAGGGGGGACCAGAGACTCAGAGGGAGAAAACAGAGGAGGGTGAATTCCAAGAGGGGCCTCCTCCCCTGGGGCACAAAGGAGAATAGCAATGTTCAGTTGTTCAATTCAAAGTCACGGCCTGGAAACTTGGGTGTTTAGTGCACAGAACCCAACCCTGAGGGACCAAGAGTGTGGGCCAAGTCATCACCCAAGGGAAAGGCTACAAGCAGAGCCGACTCCTTCCTCCCCATTTCTTCCCTGCCCGGCCGACATCTTCACTCACCCAGTGCCTCGGAGGCCCAGGGCACATGGGACTCGAGATCAGGCAGCAGCTGGGGCAGCTCGGTGGGCAGGTTGGAGCACTGCTTCTGCACGTAGAGGACCCCCGGGTGTCGGGCCTGGCCCTCTAGCACATCCAACACGTGGCTCAGGGGCAGGTGGCGCTCGGCTGGCATCACAAAGCGGTCCCCTCGGACGGCATCGGCATAGCCATCGGGGGTCACAGCCACACTCACCTCTGTGGAGCCCACTGTGGCTCTGGAGGAGAGGACTTTCAGCTGCACCCAAATACCACTAAGTACCACCCAACACCCCCTAGGGCAGCCCCCACCTGAGATAGGGGAAGGACCACTTCCGCAGAGCTGGCCAGTGCCGCAGGGCATTACGGATGATGCAGGGCCTGTTGGGGCAGACCCAGTCGCGGTAGAAGTGGAGCGGAGTCGGGGGCTCGTCCAGGTAGGGCACGGCAGGAGGCACGCTGAGCTCTGAGAAAAAGAGGTGGAGGGGGGGCTGAAGACGAGAGCACCCAGCTACTGCCCCTGCCTCTACGGGGCACAGTGTCACCACTGGATGATGCCCATTGGTGACCAAGGGACCCTGTACAACCAGGAACTGATGAAAGAGGGAACTTTAAGTGAGAAAGTGTGAAGCACCCACAAATACACCAAGATGCAGCCCTCAGAGTCCACAGAGCCGGAGGCTGCTGCTCAGCCCCAAACCCAACCCCTCCTCGAGACCACGTCCAGCCCCATATAGTGACCCCTCGGCTTTCCCATTCTGCAGTGCCCAACCCCCACGCAGCCATGAGGGCAGGCAGCCATTTCAGGTGGTGCAGGGAGCTCCAGAATGAGCAGAGCTGAGGCCCCAAGGCCACAGACTGGTGTGGGTGAGTCGAGACTCTGGAAAGCACCCTCCCCCCAGTGATATATTCACTGAGCACCTAGAATGTACTCAGTGCTTGGTTTGGCCTATGTGGAGGTATCAAGGGAGGATCCTACTGTCATCCCAAGAAGATTACAACCCAACTGGGGAGACTGGCTGCCCCATGAAACCCTAAGAGGAAGAGTTAAGGGCTGAACTGTGTTTCTGATCTTACCCAACGGCATCACCACCCCCGGACACCCCATGCTACCTTGTGCATTTAGGCAGGTCGAGCAGGACGCCACCTGCGCAGATGTCTCTAGTGGCCCTGCGTCACTACTCACAGACCTGCTCTTCTCAGCTCTTCCTTCTCCCTCACTCTGGTCACCCTACGGGTGGTCCTGAAGTTCTACTGATGCCACCTCCTGTCTCTCCAACCACCCCCACCTCCCCTCTGCTGCTATCTACATTCAGACCACCTCCTTGGGTCCTCAAATGTCACTTCAGTGAGGCTTCCTTCCCTGGCAACCCTTTTAAATTGGAACCTGTCCCAAACAATCCTACACCCCTTCCCTTTTTCTTTTCTCTCCTTTTTTCATCACCACGTAACATACTACGCACCTCCCTTAGCAAAACTGTTTATTGGTCTCTCTTGCTAAAGTAGAATGTAAGCTCCACAAGGACAGGGATACAAGTCTCACTTGCTGGTGTATCCCCAGGTCCTAGAATGGTCCCTAACACACAGCAGGTGCTCAGCAAATGTTGGCTTAGTGGTTGAAACAGAGTCTCCAACATCTCCTCGCTGGCTGTTTGCTGTAGTCAACTAACTGGTTTCCTTGGCTTAATTCTACTCCTTCGCAAAGCACCCCTCACCCTGGCCCTAGTCATCTTCCTAAAATACAATCTCATCCTGTCATAACCCTCGTTTAAAAAAAAAATGCTTTGATGGTTTACAAATTATAGTCCGTCCTGGCATGCATTCAAGGTGATACATGATCAGGCCCAACCCACTTTTCCAGTCTGGTTTCCTCCTGTCTGGTGCCAGCCCCTTACCACACTCTCAGGTGGAGCCAAACTTTGTTCCTGCTGCTCACTCAGACTGGAATGCCTTTTTCCTAGCTTCTACAGAGACCACACGGGGCTTCACTTTTTAGTTTCATCCGTGAGATCTAGCCTGAATGTCTTGGCCCCAGTGGGCGGCCACTGCACTAATTTTCTCTCTGAGGTCATTCCCTATCTCTTATGTCAGCCTCCACACCAAAGCAAAGTCATCTTTGCTTTGCGGGCAGAAAGTAAATGTCTTTAGATCAAAAATTGGAACGGAGTGGGAAGACCCTCGCAGGCCCAAGAAAACTGAAAAGGATAAGAGCTGGCACATGCGATTGCTTCACTGTCTAGAGAGGTAAGATGGAACCTGCCAAGCAGAAAAGGGAGCAAGTGGGGGAGGGCGGAGACACAGGCCCAGGGTCTTCCCAGTTAGGCCGTCCCATCAAAGCAGGCACGTTGGGAAGGTGATTTGGGGGGGCTCTGTAAATCTCCCTATTGTTCTGAGATTCTTAAATCTTATTCTTAAATTCTTTTTTTTTTTTTTTACCTTTTGTATTTTCTGCAATTATTTCAGTTTTACTACCTCCAGTTAAAAGACTTCCTGTAGAGAATGGCTACTGCTCCCTGCTGAGGCTTCTACGTGAGAGAATTTCAAAAGGAATTCAAACAATTCTTTTGGTCTAACAGTTCTTCTGTTAGAACTTTAACCAACAAAATACACACGTGCAGAAAGCCTGCTCCAGCCACACTGGCCTTATCACTGTTCCGTGAACACACGAGGCACGGTCCCACCTCAGGGCATCCGTCCCAGTGCCCTCTACATGCAAGACCCTTCTCTGATGTCTGAGCAGCTCACTTCCTTCCCCGCCCTTTGTCAAGCCTGTGCTCAAATGTCGCTTTATCTAGGCTTACCCACCATGACTATCTTTTTTAAAATTGGAACCTGCGCCCCCCCCAATACCTGGCCTGAGACCTCTTATTCTGCTTTACTTTTTTACCCACAACACTGATCTTCTAATCCATCCCTTCTACTGTATAATTAACTCATTTAGTGTGTCTAGGATTGTCTCCTCACCTGGAATGTAAGGTCCACCAGGGCAAAAATTTGTTTTATTCAGTGACGTATTCTAAATATATTGTTCAGAGCCTCACACATTGAGGTGCTTAGTACTGAGGGGCTCAAAATATTCGTTGCAACATTAGTGAAAAGAAACACTGCAAATGACCTAAATGCCTATCAATACTAGGCTGATTCAGTGAATTACCACACTAGTACACAGGAGTGAAAAAGACTGAGAAAGAAGGATATACGACGATCTTCAGGATACTTAGTGCAGAAAATTGTGTTTAGCAGGCTACCACTTGTATACAGAAGGAGCTATATAGGCGTGTGTGTATGTATAGCTATAAACTGAGTATCTCTGGAAGGATGCAAACTGGAGCCTAAAATGGGAGGTATTCTTTCATTATAAATCTGGTTTTTTTTTAAGCCACGTGCACGTGTTGCTAATTAATGGTAAAACAGAAATGGGAGGGAAGAAATTAAGGAGAGAGAAAAACATTGGGGCGCCTGGGTGGCTCAGTGGGTTAAGCCGCTGCCTTCGGCTCAGGTCATGATCTCAGGGTCCTGGGATCGAGCCCCGCATCGGGCTCTCTGCTCAGCAGGGCCTGCTTCCTCCTCTCTCTCTGCCTGCCTCTCTGCCTGCTTGTGATTTCTCTCTGTCAAATTAAAAAAAAAAAATAAAAAAAAAAAAAAAAAAAAAAAAAAAAAAAAAAAAAAAAAAAAGGAGAGAGAAAAACAAAAAAACAAGCAGGGTTAAAGCCAATGATTACTTATACAGCTGCCTACAATTCTCCCAAAGCTCTGCACCAGCTCGTAGAAGTCTGTTCCAGAATAAAGCGTTCCAGCAAAGGGTTCAGAAAGGGAGCATCCGACCCCCTTAAGACAGCGATAGGAAAGGCTGGGAAGGGCAACAACAGACCGCCCCATTACTCAGGACGGGCTGACTGTGGGAAACACACCAGGGGGAAGACTGGCCCGGGCCTTGGGGGTAGGGCGAAGAGTCACCCCAGAAAGCCACGAGGACACTGGAGCAGGGGAGCTGAGGACTAAGCACTGCGGCGAGGGCAGGGGTGGAACAGAAGAGTGATCCGAGAGGGGCCGGCAACGAGTCAGGTGCACGAGCTCCTGCGCTCCTTGAGGACACGAACTCACGGGAACCGTGGTGTCGGGGCCCAGGAGGGTCAGGGCGCTCCCGACTCGGAGCCCCGGTTCCCCGCATGCCCAAGGTCCCGCACGCGTCGTGAGGCTGCCAGGCGGTCTAGGCGAGGCCGCCGCAGCCTCCGCGTAAACCCACTCACCCCTTGCGGCGGCCGGGAATTCTCGTAACTCCCTCCGCACGGCGTCCAAAGCCGCCTCCGCCATCACGCCGCCGCCGCAGCAAGGCCACGCGTCCGCCCCCTGAAGACTCCGCCCCGAGAGGCCCCGCCCACCGGGCCCGCCCCCAGCCGCTGAGCCCGGGCCCCCGCCCTCAGCGCGCCCCGATTCGGCTAACCCCACCGCCTGTGAAAAGTCGCGCCTTCTCCCGCCTGGCCCATTCGCTGGCATCCTGGAGTTAACAAATGATTGTGTTTATTGACGAGTTCATACATCAGTACAAACGGACGAGTTAAAAACAGCCCCTGCCCCGTGAGACCTGGGGAAGAGGGAAGAGCCACGGTCTGGACAAAATATAAAAGTTATAAATAAGGGGGTGGGAGTTTCAAAACTGGGTCAGGGCAAATCTGGTCGGGGCGGGGGGGCGGCAGTTGCCGGTGGCCTCAGACATGCAGAAGGGGACGGGCGCCGGCCGACCGCAAGACCCTCTCCCACCCGACGCTCGGCTCGGGGTAGGGAAAGGGCAGCCACCTTCTCACAAACCTTAGCGGGAGTGTAGGTCCCTCAAGCGAGGGGCTAGCTGGCTGAGGATCAAGAGGAACCCAGGCCAGAGGGTCAGGCCTGAGCCCTATTTGGTCTGGGCTGTGGCTAGTGTGCCGGTAGGGGGAGTGGAGTAAACTTCTAAACCCCACAGGGCAGAAGCAGCCCCGCTGGGGTGCGGTTCTTTGGCTGCGGTTCTCTGCACTTTGGCTGTGCAGGTGGTGGTACTACGAAGAGTGGGGCGGGAGAAAATAGGCTTCATCTGTTCTGGTGCACTCCGGCTGTTGCAAACAGGAGCTGAGCACTCTACGGAAACCAGTTTCTTTCTAAGTTTCTGCCTAGAGAACCAGCAGGACCCCATGGCCTCTCCATGGGAGCACAGGTTTTCCTGACCTGAATCTTCAGGAAAGCCACCCTGACATACTTAAGGCAGAGGGAAGCAGTAGGGCCCAGAGACACGTGTTTTTCACCCCAACTCAATAACAGCCTCACTACTTGGTCCTAGTCTACCTGCCTGCTGTGCCCTATATCCTTCCCCTCACTCCTAACAGCTGCCCTTCTGATTCTAATCTACCCCTCCCCTCTAGCACTTACCTGTCCCACCTACCACCTTTCCAGTGTGTCTCTTGGCCCCTTCTGCAGTCCCACGTGCCTCTGCCTCCCCTCAACTTCCAGTCCCCAGGGCGTCCTGGGTGCCCAGCACTGCCTTTGAGGAGGCTCCTTCCACCCAAACCAGAAACCTATGAGCCATCTCATACTGGCTAGGTTGTGGACACCAAAAATCCAGAATTTGGGTTAGTGTGTCCCAGTCCTTTTCGTGCTCCCTAATGGTTCCACATGAGCCAGGGTGGTAAAGCAGGAGTAGCACATGAAGGGAAACCAGGCACACGTCAGCCAACCAAGTACTCTAGCAATTAACGTGTGTGTGTGTGTGTGTGTGTGTGTGTGTATAGACTCCGTCTTCATCTGTGGCCAAGGGCCTTAGAAGGTGGGCTGGTGCCCTGTAAACCATGAGGGAAGTTCTAACACCGGCATCACTCAGGATGCAAGGAAAAGGTGGCCTCTGGGTCTAGCAGCCTGCTGGGGATCAGGGTTGGGAAGACAGGGAAGACCAAGGGGCTGGGAAAAGGAGGCCAGGGCTCTATGTTTGCCCAGCATAGGGCTTTACTGTCCTGCAGCAACATCCCACAGCTGTCTCCACAAGTTCTGGCCAGGAGAGAAAGGGGGGCAGAGGGAGAGAGAGAATGCTAGGGCTCTCTTAGAGGGGGCAAAGGGAGTGGAATGTGGGGGGCTCCGGCCTTGATACCAACTCCGGCCTCCTGATGGCTGGGAATGCCTGGAGGGCTAGAGGGCTTTGCCTTTGGGAACTGCCAGGAACTGGGGAAAACAGCCCCGGCTCTGGCAGCCAGGGGAGTGCAGCTGGTGTGGGAGGGGAAGTGGAGGTAGAGGTGAAGCTCCCGCTGTTGGTTGAAGGGCACTGATACCACACGGCCTTTCACTTCCACCCCACCTAATACCCTGTGTGTGCTCCCCCCCAGGGAGCTGATCCCTGCAGTAATTTCAAATGGCTTCTAAGAAGAGAGGGCCAGCCCTTCCCAATTTCCCCCAGATGGGGCAGGCTGCCCTCCAACTCCTCACAGCACCAAGATGACGAAGATCCAAGACCTATACCCTGCGTGAGCCACTGAAGGGGCTGTGGAGGCAGGAGTTCCAAGAAAGTGAGGCAACAGTTAGGGAAATAAATTAATAAATACAGGGGCCCCATGAGGAGTAGCTGGGAAAGCTGCTTCCCCTCTGAGCACTGATCCCTGCTATCCACTCCAAGCATCCCCTCCAGGTTTTGGAGAGTGGAGCAGGGGCTACAGTCTGGAACAGGGGGGCATTCACTTGGAACGGGATTCTGGAACTAGAGTCTGCGTTCCATGCGCCGCTCCACCGCCCGAAGCAGCAGCTCTGAGTATTGCTCTAGGAGGGCCTGTGTCTGCTCAGCCCCCACAGCCCCGGGACTCCCGCCCGGGCTGCACAACACTGCCCCGGCCAGGGCCTCGAGCTCCTGCCGCACTGAAGAGAAGGTGCTTCTGAGGAGCTGGGTGATGCGACTTTGCTCTGCTGAAGGCGTCTTGCAGCCAGCCACCTGCAGCAAGACCCGGGAAGGGAGTCGGAGGGACAGTGGACAGACGTCCTGTCAGTGGATATATAAAGGGAGGGGCCCACCTGGGCCTAGCCTGCCCCCAGAGAAGGCCCTCCTAGACTGTCCACTGTGTCTATGGTGGGCAAAGTGCTACTGTTGATAATTACACGGGAACAACAGGCATAAACTGGGATGGTCCTAGAACAAACCAGGTCCCAGGCAAACCAGGACATAGGGTCTCTCCACAATCCCCCACCCCAATCCAGTCTGAGGAAGTCTCCAGACAGAGAGGACCAGTAGGTGCTCAATCAAGAGGCCTGGTCTGGCCTCTAAGCCCCTTGCCTACTCTGCCCGGGATGTTCTTGCTTGCCCTACCCACCCATCAGTGGAAGAGCCTCGTGGTTGTTCTGGATACTCAGCTGGCACTGCTGATGTGCTACCTCCCCCACGATGGGTGCCCAGCACGTACCAAGTGGTAGAGCCGCACAGCCTGGCGCACATTGCCCTGGAGCTCTGCCACAAGCTGTTCGCACTCCTCCAGGCTCACTACCGGTTCTGGGGAGTTGGGGGACACATACAACTCAATGAGGCCCAGTGAAGCTGCCCTTTCAGGCCTCCCCCCGCCCAGGGGCCCTGAGAGCAGGAGAGGCCTACCACAGGAGCACACCCCCTCTGCTTGCCTTTGTCTCGCCTCCTTCCTTCCCAACACTGCCAGCCCCGCAACACCACACAGAAAACAAGGTCCTGAGGGGAGGGCCAGTCCCAGCACAAGAAGCCAGAAGGTGGTGAAGGGGCAAGGAGGTCACAAGGAGGTCATGAAGATTGACAGGAGTGTCTCACCATCGGGGTGTGACTTACGGACCAAGACAGGAGCAGAGACAGGACGAAAACGCCAGAGTCTGGACGCACAGAAATGGGATGGAGCCAGAGAGCAGACAACAGAGACAGAAGAAAGAGGATGGGGCAGGAGATGAGAGCTGGGGAGCTGTGCACACCTGAGTCCTGGCTCAGGGCTGCCCCTGGCCTGGTGCATTCCACGGGGCTGGGGGTCTTCTCGGGGGGTGGGAGCTGCAAGTCCTCAGGGCCTCGGAGGAGGCTGCTGACCGGCAGCTGCTGGGCACAGGGGCTGTTGGGCCTAGGTGGAGCTGGGCACTCTGTCCTAGGCTTGGGAGGGCCACCCTCCCCCAAACAGGCCCGCCGCTCAGATGTACTGTGAGCCTTTGTGAGGCCCATTGGGGAGCCAGGCTGTTCTGCCTCACCAGGGGCCCTGCCCTTGGTAACAGGTGAGAACGTGGCCAGGGTAGGACGGTCGGGCAGTGGCTTTGGGATGTCCAGGACCAGGTGAGCCCGGCAGGGCAAGGCTAGCTTGCTGAGAGGTGAGACTTGAATGGGAGCAGGAGCCTGAGGTTCGGCCGCCAGGCCCAAATTCTCCCCAACAGACACACTGCGGGAAATCTTGGCCATGGCGCTGGTGGTGGGGTTCTGGTAGGACTGAGGCCGAGACGGACAACCGTCGGCATGTGGCAGGGAGCGCAGGCCCTCCTGGGCATTGGTCTCCCGTGAGAGCAATGGGCCTGGTGCAGCGGCCTCACCTGCAGAGAAGACAGAGATACAGGTCAGGTGGTAAGGAAGGCTTCCCAGGCGTTAAGGCTCACAGCTCCCTAGGAGTTGCTGTGCCCTGCATACACCCACTAAGGGACACCCAGTGGCAAGCACAGGGACACATCAGGGCTGAATCAGCCCACCTTCCTCTAGCATGTGCATGCACGCCACACTCCCCGCTCCCTGGACTTGAGCCCCCCAGGCTCCTCACCCTGCGGCACCAGACTCTGCACAGACTGGGCCTTCTGGAGTCCACCTAAGGTGCTGGCTGCAGCCACTTTCTTGGGAGCCCAGCTGCTGTCAGGGTTGAGGCGGCGTCGAGGCAAAAGCACAGGGACTGGCTGCTGGGGGCTGGCATTTCCAGGAGAGGGCTGTGCCTCCGGGGGCGCTCCTGGAGGACTGGCACTGCTGCCTCTCCGGGGCTCACCTGAAGCTGCCAGCATCTGGGCTGCTCTCGCTGTCAGCGCCAGGCTTGAGGAGGATGGAGACGGTTCCCTACAGGGAGGAAATGGGGAAGAAGGCCCAAAGGCTTAGGAGTCCTCCCTGCCAAGATGGGGAGAAGCTCTCACAGCACCAGAAGCTCTGGGCGGGAAGGGCAGGCATGAAGCCAGTAGGCCAGTGGTCCCCAAATGCGGGAGTACACAATGCTGTTTGATGTGGGAAGACAGAAGTCGGCACCCTTGGAGGGAGAAGCCTCGCCTGGGGGCAGGACAAGCCCTCTGGGGAGCGCTAGGAGGTCTAGTGAGCCACAGCTCCTAGTCAGAGAGTGAAAGCT